GAATTGCACCCGGAGAAAGGCAGGGAGCCAGTGCACCTCTAGGAGGCTCGTTGTTATGTGGGCGAACCGTGGTGCGCCCACGATCACTCGCGCGGCCGCATTCTGGACTAGCTGTGTAGCCTCTCTTACATTCTCGCTCTGGAACAGGATGGGAAGCTCTTCAATGCAGAGCAGCTGTTGTGGCGTCAAATACATCTAAGTGAAATTAGATGCATAAACAGAATATATTGACTGAGAAATTGCTTGTTGGTTCTAAACAGACTCGAAAGTAATGCTTTGAAAAACGCGATTTCCTGCAGAATTGGTGTTTTATTATTTAAATGTATTCCTGTGAGGAAAAAAATTAATAATGTGAAAAACAAATAATTTTATTCCTAAAGGCAGGTTATGTTTTGAAAGTTGAACTTGGAAATTCTTCTACAAGGGGGAGAACATAATAAGAGGTCCTTTTTAGTATGTAACTAGGCAACCCGTGACCTCTGGTCAAGTTCTTAAAAAGTCAGGGAGGTATCCAGGGATGGCATCTGCCTTGAAAATAGCACATTTTAAATTGTATTGCACAGTCAAACATCAGGAAATGCTTTATAATTTTTGTATTATATCATAAAATGTTTTATAAAATTTGCCAAATTTCAGTTCCATGGGACCTCAGATTTTGGATGCCTTCTGTAAGTTGACCCATGGGGGGGACCTCGATTCAAAAATGGTTGCCCTGCGATGCACCATTTTGCTCCCTTGAAGGTTACAGGAATGAGAGTTTTAGTGTATAGATAGATGCCCTGGAGCTGTGGGTAGATTGTCCTTGCAGTATGAAAAGGCTGTATCCAGAGATGCACAGGGGAAGGAAGGCAAGGGCTCGTGGGGTTGAGGACAAGGGGCTATCCAAATGACCCCATGAGACATATGTGTAATGCGTGAGGCAAGATGCCAAGAAACGCAGCCTAGAAGCTGCAGAGAGAGATTGCAGCTACAGAAGCTGCTTTCATGTAGAAAAGGAAACAGGCCTGGTACACAACGCCTGGAATCAACTCCTGGACCTTTTCCTTGCTCCCTCTGGAGAGCAGATTTTTGCTGCATTTCCTCAGCTTTGAGAGTTGCAGTCTTTGACTTTGCAGAATGGTTCCACGTGGCCAGAAAGTAATGTCCAGCTTCATTTTTTACGCTGCTCCTCTGGAATGAAAGAGACTCCAGCTTTAGGGAGAAGGTAGCCGTGGCAAGTAGGCTGCAGTTGGGGTTCTGGTTGAGTCCGGGATGGTCCGTTGCTGGTCTTTTTCGGTGTCTCCTGAGATGACTGCCTCTGTGGGGTAGATTCGCAAGAAATTAGACGATGGGGGAGGAGCTTGCTCACAGCCAAGCATCAACCTCCCAGAGTCGCTTGATTGTGGTGGGAGGCATATACATTTAATAAATAGAAAACCATGCTGTAAGGGGAACTACATTGCACAGAGGCAGCATCAAATGCAAGGGAAGTTCAAGGGACGGATCAATGCCTGTTGGCTGTAACGGTTGGAAACGAGTGATCAGATTAGACAGGATATTGGATCTGATCCAACAGAGTTGCTTTTTTGTTGCACTTTTTGATTTTAGGGGTGACTTGTTCAATTTTCCAAGTTCCCAAGAAGAAGATGACCCATCACGAACCTGGAAGGACCAGCAGAAATGTGTCTCCTTCGGTTGCAGACAAGTCCTGTCTTCTGACCTTATTGCTAAAGAGCAGGCGGTAGGCTGTGCCGAAGTGGGAGAGGCCATGGAGGTTGACGCTGCCTCACTTCAGCAGGGGGAGAATCAGAGAGCCCCAAAGAAGGGGCATGTGGGCACACCAGAAGAAAAGACCGTCCCAGAGCCTGGATCCAGCAATGGCAAGAGCACCCAGGTGCCAGTGGAGCGCCTGGGAGACCCAGCAGGCCCCCTGTCGGCCGCCACGCAGACTGCCTCTGCCGCTCAGGTGGAAGTTGGCACCAGCACAGCCTGTCCTCCACTCCAGCAGCACAGCGCCAGTGTGCAAACAGAGCGGGACTTTATGTGGCGGCCCGGAAACCCCCCAGAGTCCTTGGCCAGTCAGGTGAGGAAAGATGGGGCCATTTGGAGTTCAGGCGGCTCCAATATGGCTACCTGACAGCAGCAGGGAAATTTATAAAGGAGAAATAACTTCTTTTTGCATATTCAGACCCATCCGGTAATTCCAATGTTGGATATTTCAGGAGACTACCATTGAATCACTTTAATTAGAAAACCCTGCACAGTTTCTGTTTTTAGGAGTTGATGCAAAACAAAGCATTCCTCGAGCAGGCAGGTGAAGGCTTGGGGGTTTGGTGGGTGTTTGGATTGCCACGAGGGAAGGGGTCACACAGAAAGTAAGTTCCAGAATGTGAGGGCACAGCAGAAAAAGGCTGCCCTCAGTCCCCTTCTTCTCCTAACCACCACCTGGAGCTAAGTATCTTGGGATTCCTGCAAGCACTTTCTGGACTGGCTGCAGCTCTCGGGTGGTCTCCGGGTGCTGTCCTAGATTAGGGAGTGGGGCGGTAAAGGCCCGAGTCCAGTTGGCATGCTGGGCTGCTAAAGCACCTGCCTGGGGGCCAGTATGTGTGGCATTAGGATGAAGGTGAGTTCTGAGGGAGAGCAACCCCTGAACCAGGATAGCCTCGAACACTTCCCTGCCAGGACTGCCAAAAGGAACGTCCTGGTCTGGTAGGCTCTAGGTGCTAAAATTGGTTCCTGAAGGCACCAGCAGCCATCCCGGCAGATCACATTGGGAGCAGCCAGGAGGTCTGAGAAGCTGCTTGCAGTCCGTGTGGAGCTGGAAGGTGGGCAGAGGGTGACCTCTGCCTCTCCTGGATAGGTGGAAGGTTTTCCTGCAGGTTGCAGAAAGAAAGCGTGGATGGGTCTTGTGGTCCTTTTCAGCTTTCTGGTTCTTGAGTTGAGGGAGCAGTGAGGCTGGGCTCCCTTCTGCGGAGAGTCTTTGAGAGGAGCAGCCTCGACCTGAATTAGGATGCCTGCAATGGACTTGGGGACTCCGCTCACTCTATCAGGAGCCCTTCTTTCCATGTGGCTGCTAGGTCTACTGGGTGGACCTTTTAAGGGGTTCATCTCTTCTGTTGCTGTGGTTTCTGTCATTTGTGGTAGAGATTAAGGAGAAGGTGGCAACCCTCTGCAGATTCTCATCCCTTTTCTATGGCAATTGGCCATGTGAGGTGAGATTAAGTGTAGTCGCCGGCTTGGGTTGCTTTGTCCCTCTGCCCATCACCTCAGCACCTACTCGCTTCCCTCCCCCCTGTCTACCGGGGGAATTCTGGATGAGAACAAGGGGGTGAGGAAGGCCCCTGCAGTTCAGCCAGTCAGTGAGAAACAAGGGATGCTGTAGAAACAAGTTGCTGGTTGGCAGATGAAGGAGTCTTTGCAGTTGGAATGACGCAATTGCCGGTGTCACTTACACAAGTGTGCAACAGTATTTTTACTTACTGATTTCTTAGAGCCTCTAAAGCAGAGATGTCAAACTCACGTCGTCACGGCAGCATCACGTGACTTTGCTAAACTGGGCGTGGGCGTGGCCAGTGCATGACACATCAGTCCTGCAGGCCCTGCTCTAAAGCATTGGCCATTTTCTCTGGGAATAAGTGCCCTCCCAAGTGGAAGCGGTTTCAGGTTGGGGAAGAGCCTTCCCTGGTCCTTTCCGCATTCAAAGCTCCTTCGGGTCATCTTGGCCTTTTCCAAGGTCTTGGGGAAATGGTCTTGGTCACTTTCTGTTGACCTTCAGTGGATAAGTAGGATTTTTCATTGGACTGGCCTTTGGCTAATATTTTGTTATGGCATTGGTAAATACATAACATTTTTTTCAACAGGTTTTTATTGTTGTGTTTTCTGCCTTTGGGGTTGCTTGTATTCTCCTTATGGCTGCACTGAGGTAGGTTGTAGTTTAAATGTATTTGAATGAAAGATAATTTTTAAGCGTCTGAGCTACACGAAACTAAAGGAGAAAAATAGAGAATTTGAATAGGAATCCTACAGAAATAAACAGATAATCTTATATTCTCAAGTTTAGCCATACATGCTTTTAACATGCGTAAAAGGCTTAGATTCTGTTTCACCGATAAAGAATATTTGCAGCTCAGGGTTGAACGGAGACTTCCTTAATCTCTCAGCCGGGTTGTTTTCTTGCAGACGTTTCATGATGTAAACTAGAAAATCTCAGGGTGGGAGTGGGGTTTGCTCTCAGTGGATGTTCTGGTGCAGGGGTGTCAAACTGCTAGTTCTTCAGGTGAAAGAAAAGGGGAGTTCCAATTACAATATTCATGTCATTCTTATGAAGCATCCTGGAGGTGGTTTGCCAACTTCTGAAAAGAGTTTTTCATGTGCTTGACTTGTCAGGCTAGTCTGTAGCCTTTCGATTTCCTGGTAGGCTCCCATCTAAGTACCAGCCAGCTCTGATCCTGCTTAGCTTTCTTTCAGAACTGGCCAGACTTGATAACCTGCTGTTGCTGAGACTGTGTTTAGCTAAATCTAGTGAACTTTTAGGGGTAGATTAGAATTAGAAGCAAGAACGATCTGTTTACATACAAGTAGTCAATTAGTAAACTTTTCAGTCCAAACCCAATTTACTTGGTTTTGATGAAAGGATGTCTGGAAATATTTTGGACTTTCTTTTTTCTTCAGAAGGAGGAAGAATTTGAACTGCCCCACCCACCAGCAGGTAAAGTCCTACAGCGCCATGTGAGAACAATTCGGGAAGTGCGCACCCTCATAACACGTGTCATCACAGATGTTTACTACAAAGATGGCACCGAAGTGGAGCGGAAGGTCGTTGAGGTAGGATGTTTCCAATAAGGCCCCAGTAAAGCTGTGGACCCCATGGTTTCTGGCATGATCTCTTCAAGGGTGATGCTCTCAGATGTCGGTTTTTTAGAGGATCCCTGGGGCAAAGGCAGTGGCAGCCATATCCAGGCCATGGGGGCTCTCAAAGGCTCTTCCATACTCTGCTCTCTTCAAAATAGGGACAGCATTTTTTGTTTGCAAAATGAATCAAGTCACATCCAGAAGGATCCAGATTCTAGGGTCTCTGAGTGAAAGTGAAGTGGTCAGAAGTAGAGGTGGTCAGGCTGGAAGGCCTGGGCAGCCCCCCTCCCTCCAATTTGCCTGAGAGCTGAAGCGAAGAGTGAGATCCCTCCCAGGTGAGGGACTTTATTGGTGTGACCCGTCAAAACCGTGCTCGACTAAGCCGCGCCCGATTAAACCGCGTCGCTGACATCATCAACAGGGCGACAACAGCCAGCNCATGGAGATGATTCTGCCTCGGCTGGCCCCCCTCTCTTCGCTGACATGAAAGCTGCAAAGATCAAAAAGGCACTTTGCCAGCTGGATCTCTCTCCTTCCCTTCTTGCCTGAAGGATAAGGTACCTGTCAGATGTCTAAACAGATAACATGACCAGGAACTCGGGAGCAGCTCTGTTAAGCTGCTACCATCAGCAAGGTCCCGCCCAGGAAGCCCTCGGCCATTTAATAATTGAAGTGCGTCATAGTTTATATTTTTAAAAAATCAGATATTGGATTGCTATATGTCCTCAGCTTACAGCTGGTCACTGTGTGATCTATAGTTTGACATGGGACTCCACAGTTACACTGGAGGGAGGTTACTATGCCCGTTTATATGGAGAATAAATTCATTTTATTATTTTATAAATTATTGTTATGCTATTTAAAATTTAACAGTTGGAGCAGCGAAGGTTTGGACCATGAGTAAGGACACACAGTTATAACTAATTGGCCTTCATGAAGGAATCTCTAATTGGTTGCTGTGATAGTAAAAGGAGTGTTTCCTTGTTTCCCACCGTTTTTACTTGTGTGCCCCCTGTGATTGACTTTGTTCCTGCTGTGTTGATTTACTTGATGATGCTCCTGTTTGCCTCTCTTATTCACTGTAAATATATTTATTTATGTAAAACCACAAGTTCTTGCCAGCATCTCTGACTCCACTTGGATACAATTCCCTGACATGTTATAAACTATTTTGTAAATAACATTTTATAAAAGCATTTCATTATGATTATTATACATAGAAGAGGGCAAAAAATGCCTTCCTTCACTTCCTTATCTAATGTTTCCGACGCACAAAAGCCAGGTTAACAAATCCTGCGGAATGACATTCAGGAAAACTGGTTTTCTGTCACCTCCAGAGAAGGAGAAGCACCATGACTGGTGACAGCTGGTGACCCAGCTAATATTTTCCAGGGGGAAAACAGCAAGAACAGCACTTCTGGACTTCTTAAAGATTAGCAAAATTATGACTATTCAATTTGTCCCTCCTTTTGTATCCTTTCTTTAATGATTCTATTTCAAAATTTCTTCAATATTTCGTGATTTTTGTCCATGGCAAGTTGTCCTGAGGCGAGTTGGCCATGTTGAATTCTCCCATGGCAAGTTGGCTTTGGTGAGTTGGCTGTGGCACTAGAAGGATCCATACAGGGGGTGGGTTCCGGCTGGCACTACTGCCGGTTTGCTCGTGTGCACGCTTCGCTGCACGCACAACTGAAAAACAACATGGCAACGCCGACGGTGCTGACTGGGGAACCAGTTCAGGGATATGGCAGACCTGGGTCACTGCTGGTTCCAGTGACTCAGGCCGCCAAAGCACTACCGGTTCAGCTGAACCGGGCTGAACCGATAGGAACCCACTTCTGGATCCATAGTAAAGTAGAATAAAATATGGATTAAAAATATAAGAATGAAGAAGTGGCATAAAAGGGACAGTTAGAAGCTTGCTTAAAGGGACAGGGAAATGTCATCAGCCTCTAACCACAAGATGTTCCAGCCAACGTCCCTATGTCANTTAGCCATTTTTTGCTAACTTTCTGAACCTGGCTGCCAAATAAACCTTTCCTGTATCCTGAGAAGTCTAAAGCCTGTCATTTTCTGCAACAATTCTGGCGACTGCAGCAGGACGTAGAGCGATATTTCGCTGAGGACAGAATGGACCGACTGGTGCCCCATCGAAGCCATCTTGCCCTTCTTCAGGTGCCAATAGATACCTTTCTCCAGAAGGGGTCTGATGACCTCTCTTGGGCATCCAGAGGATACCACCGATCCAAGAATCTGACCAGGATCAGGACAAGTTAATAAAAATTATGCCGAGAAAGAAGATGCCTGCAGGCAAGTATCAAAAGAATTGTAGACCCACTTGGTTAGGAGTGGAAGAGGGGGCCCGAACACCCCCCTGAGCCTGGGATAGCATCCCTTCCAAACGGAACCGGCGTATCCTAATTAGGCTCTAGGATTGTGTGGGAGGTTAATCTGCTGCAATTCCTGTTGGTGACCATGATCTCCGGGACTGTAGGTCAGCAGAAAGTGTGTTAGAAATAGAACATGGGCGGGGAGGGAGCGTTCCTTGAATGCCCCTCCAATGCATGTTGAAAAAAACTTTTAGAAAGTTTTAGTAAAGTCTCTGGCAGAGAAATTATCCTCACTCCCATTGTACAAGCCTCAAGGAGAAAAGAAAAAGAAAAAGAGCGTCTCAACAAAACATTTAGTTCCTGTGCTGTTTTAACTTGCATGATTGTCCTTGATGATGTGTTTAATTTTTTTTTTGTTTTGTTAAAAAGAAAGAACAAATGGTCCTATTATGTGGGGCCAAGAGAAAGAAAATCAAAAAGGTTACCTAAGGGATAGATCAAGTGGACCACAAACCTGGTCCAAGGAGCAGTTGAGACAAAAACTCAAATTGCCCCTAAGTGAATTTTATTGCCAGAAGCTCAGGGGGAGCTACGTAAGGTGTGGATATATATGCTCCATTCTCAATGGCTCATTTATATAATTGGAAAAATCAAATTCCTGCTTATANGCTCACCAACCTAGCAGTATCCCAAAGGTGCCAAGCCACAGGAAGCTGGGGGTAGGCAAAGGTGATCACATTGTTTGGTGCCTTCGGGATACTGCTAGGTTGGTGAGCAGCGCTGTGCCCAGCTGAAGAGGGGGGTTGCCGGGCGACTGTTCTCTTGCGAGCGGGCTCCCAAACAGCCGGGCACAGCCTCATGGGCAAATGGCTGTTTTGCACTGTTGCAGCAGTGCAACATAACAGCGACCATGCTCATGAGCAGCCAACCAGCAAACCCCCTTTGCAGCTGGGCACAACACCATTCACTGACCTAGGGGTATCGCCAAGCCGTGTGAGTGCCTGATCGCCACCACCCAGCTCCCGTGGCTTGGTGTCTTCCAAATGTCAGTGAATGGCGCTTTGCATGGCTGCAGAGGGGGGTTGCACGAGCGGCTGTTCCGCTGTCACTCACCCACCTCCCAGACTCACGATGCGTGGCCCAGCTCTCATTACAGAGTTAGGGCACCTCCACTGCCGCCAGCCTGGCTTTTTCCATGGCTTACAACCCAAATCTTTCAGCAGTGCTGCTCTGGGCACACGCTCTATGGTTATACACTCTGCAGGCAGCTGGCCCACAACCATAGAGCGTGCACCCAGAGTGACCACTGCCGCAAGACACGGGTTGGAAGCCACAGAAAAAGCCAGGCTGGGATGGCAGCGTAGGTGCCCTGGCTCCATAATGAGAGCTGGGCCATGCATGGTGAGTCTGGGAGGTAGGTGAGTGAGAGTGGAACAGCCACTCACACAACCCCCCTCTCCAGCCATGCAGAGCGCCATTCACTGGCATTTGGAAGGCATCAATCCACGGAAGCCAGGCAGTGGCGAACAGGCACTCATGCGGCTTGGCGATACCCGTAGGTCAGTGAATGGCACTGCTCCTGGCTGCAAAGGGGGTTTGCCGGGTGGCTGCTCGTGAGCATACTCGCTTCATGGCTGTTGTGTTGTGCTGATGTGACAGTGCAACACAGCCATTCACCCATGAGGCTGTGCCTGCCTCTTTGGGAGCCAGCTCGCAAGAGAGCAGCTCCCCGGCGATCCCAAAACAATAACCCCCCCCCCCATAATAAAGCCCAAGCCATATTTTGTAGGTAAAAAGAAAATAAGACCCTGTCGTATTTTCGGGGAAACATGGTAGCTACGTGACCATACTGGATGGGAAGCCCAGGACATTGGAACTTCAAATCTATTGGGTTTCAGGGTCTCTTATAAGTGCAACTGGTTGCTAAGTGACCGATTTTAAGTCAAGGATTCCCTGTAAGTAATATGCAGTTTTAAATCCTGAAGAACCCTGAATGCAGATGATAATCTATTTCCTTGTTTTTTTCTTAAACTTTTTTGAACTAGTATGTGAAATCTCATATGGATTTCAAAGGGCCAATAAGAGAGATTAGTTGGGCATTTTACCAAATACCTTTTTTGACTGGAATCCAATTAATTCAACAGTTAAAACAAAAGCATTTTTTTAAGATGGAGACTAATTGAAGCAATACTTCAAAAAATGGATTGGGGAGTACCATAAAAAATGAAATTGAGTTTTTGGATAAAAATATGGAGGTTAAGACTGTTACAATAGCAAGGTTATAGCTGAGGGTATTTTGTTCACTACAATTCACACGAAAAAATGCACCGTAGATTAGAAGAAAAATGTTAAA